TTTGATATAAAAAAATAAATAAAAAGATACTTTTATATTTTACGAAGGAAAAGAGAGATAAAAGAAGGGAAAAAAAAAAAAGAGTCTATTAAATCCTAGTCATCCACCGACATGCGCTCTACCATAATAAATATTTCAATGCAAAGTTCTTAACATCGTTTTTGAAGGCATTGTTTGGCTAATTAAAGAGCCGAATGTACTACTTTAAGGGCACAGGCTCTTTCTGTTTGCTAGAATGTGCTTTACATGCACCAACATCTTTGTATTTTTCTTTTTTTTATTTATTAAAAGATCATATTGTCTCTTATTCTATTTGATAATAATAATTAAAAAAATGATAAAAAATCAAAAAGTCATAACAACAAGTTTAGTATTTTTTATTTTTTTAAATGTAATTTAATCTTTTTATTATTTTAAAAAAAGTAAAAAAACTAAAGAGCCCTATGATACTAGTATAAAAAGGTAAAAAAACTAGTTTAACCCCAATCAATTTGATAATACTAAATAAAACTCATGAAAAATTTATTTTACCCTCCAATTTATACTTTCTTGATTTACATCATAAATGATAAAAATATCAGCATACCATAGCAATCCACGTTCCAATTTTAGTTCACAATATTTTACTTATTTCTCTTAATTTTTTTATAATAATTTCTTAATTTTTAACTCCGGATTCTCCCACTAAAACTACTAGATTTAGGGTGATTTATACGAGAAATGGTACTAATGAAAAATATAACAAGATGTGATATCCTGACATGACTGTGGCTTTGAGAATCGAAGGGACTTATGTTGTTCGAAAGAAAAGAGGTATAATTATGATTTGATTTAGAGAACATACAAATCACCTTCCTATTTAACAAATTATAATTATATTATAATTGTAATTGTAAAATATGTAAAAAGAAAATACTAAACCAAAATTATGTTTTCTTATAAAATGATGTTTTCCTGTAACAGCTCAAGATTTAATTTGAAACATTGTTTATGTTAAAAACTAATATGACTGCTAAAATAAGTTAAAAAAATATTAAAATATTATGTGCTTGTTTTTGCTATGATTGAAAACAATGTGCATGTGTGTGTGTGTTAAAATCATGTTTAAAATCTATTTAAGAATTTATAGACAAAAAAAACATTTGAATTAAATTTTCATGAACAATTTATTATTAATATTGTTATTTTCATATTAGATATGCAATAAATGAAAAATATTATTAAAATTCAAATAAACATTTATGATATTATTTAAAAATCATGTTAAAATCTAAGTTTAATTAAATCAACATGGTAATTTTATTTTTTTGAGTGCTAAACAAATAAAAAAAGAAAAGAGGGGGGAAGGAAGAAAGACATGACATAAAAGGGCCAAACGCATGCAATTTGAAGGTCTCGCCGCACGCTTGGCCTTGCTTTTTATTTTTTTTATTGTGTCATCCACCGCTTATTTTTTAAAAAAAAGAGAAAACTAAAGAGGACTATGCATCATTTGTTGAGGCAAATGATATGTCTTTTGCTTACCTAATTTTCAACAGCCCAACTAGCCCAGTTTCCACAAACCTGACTAGCTGGAAACATGGTAGAAATTGACCATTTAATTTTTGAACCAAACAATTCATTTTCAATTTATTTTATACCTGAAATATATGAAAAACAACAAACACAACTCAATAAATTTTTACTTAAAAGTATATTGAAATCATATTTTATTTTATTTTTAAATTTTTTTATATCAATACATTAAAATAATTTAAAAACATAAAAATATTAATTTAAGTAAAATAAAACTGAATTTTAACCAATCCTTATTTAGGCTGAAATCTCATACGATGCATAGTCCTGTTAAAACTTTTATGCAAAATTTATTTATAAAATTAGATTGTATGCTTGTCTTGAGAGAATTATATAAAACAAAAAGCTTCATTAATGCTTCATAAAAGTAAAAAAAAAAATTAAAATTAAATTACTAAAATGTCATTTTCTCTATTCCTTAAAAAAGGGTTTTGTTATATGTAACATTATTGGTTGGGCTTTTATACTATTAAAATAAATTATAATATTTACTAAATGAGTTTAGTATCTTTTTCATTGTTTACCTAGATATAAATAAGCAGTGTAATAATAAATATATCCTTGTTAAGTATGCAATAAATATATCCTTGCTAAGTATGCAATTGGGAGTAGAATTGTCTTTTTCATATGATATATTTGGCATTAAAAGAATTATATAGGACAAAATGGTCCATTTGGGTTTTTTAGGAAGTAATATAGACATTAATTTGCTTTTTAGAGAACAAAATTTTAACCATCAAGTTAGGGTTTTTATTTATTTATTTTTTTAAATAAACAAGGAGGATACAACCATGCTCTTAAGGGGAAAATATGCATGTATTAAGGGGTTTCACTATCATTTTCTTTTATTAAAATAATTTAAATACAAAATTATCATTAGGTCTCAACAAAAACAATACTGCATGTAGGGGGTGCTTTTGTCATTTTTATATGGTTGCCAATCCCAGGCTTACAAGTCTGAGCAGGCCTAGATGCTTGGGTTTGAAATTGTTGTTAGGCCTAGGCGTACGAGTTTGACTTGATTGTCAAGCTCGGTGCATTGGTACGCTATGGTTAATAGACTAAGGCACGAGTTGGATATAGTTATCAAATTCAGGCACTTGATTATGGTATGATTGCTAGACCTAGACGCCTTAAATTTAGCTTTGTCACCAAGCATAGGCGCCTGGATTTGGAATGATTGCGAGGCTTAGGCGTCTGGGCCTAACATGGTTGTCAGCCCTAGGCATTAAGGTTCGCCAACCCAAACACGTAGGTCTGCCATGATTGCCAGATCCAGGCTCCTTAGGTCTAGTGTTATTGCCAGGCCAAGGCTTATGAATCTATGGTTGTCACCAGACCTAAACATTTTGGTGCAGGCTAACATGTTTGCTAAATCAAAGTAATTTAGGTTTGATATATTTGACAAACTCAAGTAATGTACATTTGGCATGGTTACCAGACCTAAGATACATAGACTTGATGGTTGCCCAAGTCTACAATAACATGGTTCTAACACTTTTAACTGTTATTACAATAATTATTTATTAATCGGCTCGCAGCAACATGCGAGCCATTTGTGTGATAAAAATTAAAAAGAATTAGAGTTTTACTATTTACACAAACTTAAGTTATTGTAAATTAGAATAATAAAATTACCATTTTATTTTTATTTAAAAAACAACTGAATAAATTTGGTTTTAAAGGTAGAATAGTCTTTTCATAAAAGTTCATTCGTCATTATTGAATTGACCGGGGACAAAACAATCTTCTATTTTTTAAGCACAATTAAATGACTTAATTACACTTAAAAAAAAAAATAAACTTGCATGTAGGGGTTTTTGTCTTTTTTTAATACAATAAAATGATTTAAATATTCTTAAAAACAAAAGTTATTAAACTTACTCCCAAGGACTTTTTTATAATCTTATCTTGTTTTTTTATTATTATTATAATTAAGTTGGTTTAGGGTTAATTTAGTATTTTTGTAAATATAAAATAATATTAAAAAAACTAGTTGACACTTGAAAAGTGCATGTTATGGAAGCACTTCGACACCTCTTTCCATATAGAGGGAACATATGGCGGTTTCGGTAATAGTTTGTTATAGATGGCCTCTCTATTTTTCTTTTCCTATCTTGGTTCTTATTTTTAAAAGTCACCCTTTTATTTACTGATATTTAATTTTTATTTTTATTTTTTTATTTTTGTTCTTGGCTCAATTGTCAAATTTCAATTTCATCCTTTGATCTATAATTATAATTTGTTATTTTTTTTAAAAAAAAATTGTTCTTTATTTTTAATTTATATATTTTTAATTTTAGATTTTTTTGTGAATTTAATGTTTCTTTCCAATTTGCTCCTTCAAATTAAAATTATAGATTGTCATCTCATTTGCCTTTTATTTCAAGTCTCTTAATTATTTTTTTTATTTTTGTTCTTTTTGTATAATTGATTTTTTTTATTTCATCCTTCAATATTTAATTTATTGAAAAATAAGATTTGTGATTTTTCCAAACATGGTACTTCCAGTTTAATGACTCGAGTTATAAGTTTAAAAAATTAACAATGCTTGATATCATTTTGTTTTCACTTATTTTTTCATGTTATCCTTTGTCATTGTTAATTTTGAAAATTAGGCTTTGTAATTTTATTTTTCTTTCAATCATGTTTAACTAGCTAACTTAGTATTTTTTGGAGTCATTTTTTTTTATATTTTTATATTTTATTCTTTAAAATTAGATTATTTTTTAATTTAAGTTTTATCATTTTTCTTATCTTGTTCGCATGATCTAATTTACGAAATTTAACATCCTCGTCCAATTTCACATATATTTTATTTTTTTAATCTCCATTTAGTTGACTAATTTATTTTTCAAATTCAATCATTTTATATTTAGGTTGTTGGAGATTGACAATGCTATTTATTTCAATTTTTTTTTATAGTTATTAATTTTTTTAATTATATTATTAAATAAAATCATCTTATTAGATGCAATTGTATCTATAGCTTAATTGTAATTATATTAAAAAGATCAAGCACTATCCACATATTTCTTCTAAATTGTTTTTAAGTATTCTTGAAAACAATTCAACAATCATATTACATAACATTTTGCTCAACGGTTTCATAAATATTATATGTGCCAATGCTTTTGATTCTTCATGTCAATAATTTTTCTTTTGTATCGACTAATTTAAAATCATCTCGTAAATCTAAAATGTTTTTTTTTTTAATTGTTTTCTTAAAAATAGCACCATAAAAGAAATATTTTATTAATAACATTACGTGAAAAAAGTAATTATAAAATAGAGATTAAAAAATTACTAAATCCTTCTAATCTTTAAATTAAATTAAAGTATATACTATGATAATATTGAGATAAAAGAATTAGGGAAAAAAACAGTAGCGGTTGGCTTAACATAAAACCCAAAAGATCCAACGGTGCAAAAATAAGACTGCCCTACTCCTGAAAAGTGAGAACGCACGCTCTCTCTGCCTCTCTCAGCTCAGGTGGGGATTCCAGTGGTCATAAAAGACAAAGAGCCAAACACCCCTAGTGTAGTCCTCCCACCGGAAAAAAAAAAAAAGAAGAAGAATTAAAAATCATGGCTTTCAGTTCTCGTCTCATGTCCAGATCCAAACAGGTAACTACTTTTTTTCTTTCTATTTCAGATCTTCTTATCCTCGTTTCCATTCATCCATTCATTTCTTACCGTAGGATTTCGATTCCTGTTTGTTTTCCCGCAAAATCGAGGAAATGATGAATCTATTAACTCTGATGTTTTTTTTTTTTAATTATGTTTGGTTTATAAAACTGAAGAAATGTTGAACTTTTTTAGATATTTTAGATTTTTGGGTCAATGTGGGTTATTTTTTTGTGCTTCGATTATTTTTCTGTTGAGGATGGAATTAAATGTTGGTTGGGAATATCAGATTTTATGGGAAGTTCAAATTCTATTGTGGGTTCTGTTAGGGGAATTATTGTGGAATTAAATTAAAAAATTTTAAGGATGTGCCGTGATTTTTCGTTCAATTATTGGGATTTTGTTTTGACTGATAATGATTTATTTTTTGGTGGGTATATTTTGGGTCGAAGCAGTTGTATGGAAGTCAAGCGATTTTGAATCAGCAACATGCTTTTCCAGTTCGTTATTATGCAAAAGAGGCTGCTCCTGCCGGGCTCAAGGGAGATGGTCAGTACACCCTTAAACTTCTGTTATTAAATGGGTTTTTGCCACATGTATTGTTTGATGACACTCAGAATTTAGCTTTGCCACTTTCAAAGCATGTTGTTTGGAGATGATAAGTACTGGGCCAAGAAGTTGAATGTTAGTGGCCATGTGACCACATGCGTCGTGCTAGGAACTTGAAAAAATATTTCACAAAGCTCAGAGCAAAATTACATTTTAATTTTGTTTTTGAACAGCCCATTAAAGCATTTACAACCTTCATACTATGCAACTCTAATCTCTTGGGCTAACAGCCAACCCTCACCAGTTTTGGGATTGAGGTGTCGCTGCTGCTGCTGCTGCATTGTTGTTGTTGTTGTTGTTGACGACGACAAAAATGATGATGATGGTGATCACAATGATTTATATTGTTGCCTCATATTCTAACTAGTATACTCTTACAATCCAGTTAAAAGTAAAATACGTGGTAATCATCGTCGTTTGTTCATGACACTATGATCTGTTATAACATCTTTTACTCCCGGTAGATGCAACTATTCACAGTGAACACTGTGATGATTTGGCAACTTAATGCAAGTTTTCCTTTGAACTAAACAGAGATGTTGAAGGACATCTTTCGGGACATCAAGCAGAAATTTGAGACAGCCATTGGGGTACTTCGGAAGGAAAAGATCACCATCGATCCTGAGAATCCAGCTGCCGTGTCTCATTATGCGAAGGTCATGAAGACAATTAGAGAGAAGTAAGATATTCTTTATTCTTCTATTTTCTGATAGTTTCTCAAGTTTCTTCTGAGGTGTTTCCATGTTTAGCACCCCTCTTTCTTTTGGGTGAGCATTTGGTTTGGATCTGGTGGATTTATATTCATTGTTTGTGCTGAATTTGGTATGCTTTCATTTAATGATCTATGATACTGGCCTATGTTCTGTCTCTGCAGGGCTGGCTTGTTTTCAGAATCACAAAGGATCCAGTTTACCATTGAAGAAGAAACACAAGATATTCCAGATGCTCGGACGTTTTTTCTGAAATTACAGGAAATAAGAACCAAGTAATCCTCCTTTCCAAGATCTTGTCTAACCTGTTCTAGATTTTATTTCTGCGGCAAATGAAGCATCATGTCATATTTGCTATATATGAATTATCCTCTTACTAGGATGTAGAAGAAATAGCTTTTTTTTTCCCTCTGCCCTGCCTTGACAAACATTTGTCCATGTGGATCTGAAATTAATACTAACATCCCTAGTGACTGATGTGCTATTCATTTGTTATAAATCCAAAGTTATATTGATATCTTAGCATCCCCTTGTTGCATTTCTCATTTGCAATGTAATGATGGATATTGGTTTTTCCGCTTCAGGAGAGGTCTCTCTGATGAGCTTGGTGTAGAGGCTATGACGATGGATGCATTGGAAAAAGTTGAAAAGGAAATTAAGCAACCTCTGATGAGGAATGATAAGAAAGGAATGGCTCTTCTTATGGCGGAATTTGACAAGGTTAATAAGAAGTAAGCGTTGATTTAACAACTAAATATGCTTCTTTGTTTTTTCTTTTTTGAATGGTAATGTGGTTTATCTTACCTGCAAGAGTATTGTACTTTGTGACGGTCAAGTTTATATGAAAAGTTCTTGATGGAGTTTATTTTAGCTGCATGACCATATTCCTTGCCTTCTGAAACCTGAAGCTTATACAATCCTTAACTGTCTGAGGACTATTCTGAGGACTTATGAATGTTTGCTTTTATTGATAAACGAACCATCTCATGAATTGGTTTACAAAATAAGTTTGCATGTCTATGTATTGACTGGAGGACTTACTTTAAATATACAGACAATCTATATATTGTCTATATATTTAATGAATAGTCAGTGTAACTAACATGTTGATTTACTATTACCAGCAACTAATTTCTGTTTGTTAAGTGCACATTGGCCTGGTTGGTAGTTCTCATGCAGTGAGTTTGACATGGAGATGGTATCCAAAGTGTTTTTCTTCCTGGTTCCCTTATGGTGGCTATTGTGATGATATTGCTCTTTAGTTGGAATTTGTAATATCAGAAGGGAAGATTTGACTCTTTTGTTTTTGTTTTTTTTAATCTTTATAGGCTTGGAGTTCGTAGGGAAGATCTACCAAAATATGAAGAGGAGTTGGAACTTAAAATTGCCAAGGCACAATTGGAGGAGCTGAAGAAGGATGCTGTTGAGGCAATGGAAACACAGAGGAAGAGGTATTCTTTTTATTCTTTTTGTGCTTATTGTCTTGTGATTCTGAACCTCGTGGTTCTAGACATGCTGGCTTCCTACACTTGGCTTCGGGCTAAATAAATAGGATGGACATGGGTTTAGCTCTCATTTCTTTCTTTTTCTGGGAAAGAGTACTTTTTCAGTCTTTTTTTGTATTCCTGATGAATGACCACTGAATAGGGATGCAAGTCAACCCAAACGACTTGAATTGACTCAATTCTAAGCTCGATTGAACTAGTTGAGAGCATAATTCAAACCGAGCTTGAACAAAGTAAGTCTAGCTGAGCATGACTGTTAGGTTGCTCAACTAGGTTTGTTCATGAACATGGGCATTTTATGTGTTTTTGTAAGCGTTCCAAAGTGGCTTGTTCTAGAGTAATAAAAACCCATGTTCTATATCTTTAGGAGGTAATGAAAATAGGGAAAAGATTGAAAAAACTTGAGGACTTTCTCTTATCTCATTATTATTTATTATCATCATCATTATTATTCTCATTTTTTTCTTGAATGAAGGTGATTGACAAAAAGGCTGCTCCTTTTGTACGAATTGTTTGGCATAGAAATTCAAAAACAATTTATGAGTTGTATTTTATGCTCTGAAACCTTAGAAGGCGTTCTGGCTAGATGAATTTTGACTGTGACTTGACTTTACCTTTAGGCTTGTTGTGAGCCACCAAGCCTAATGAACTGATGAGCATGATTAAAAATTTGTATCTCGAGCCGAGCTTGTGCAGAATACCTGTAAAATGACTTGACCTTGACCTAAGCTTGATCAGCACTACAACCTATCCAACCTGAGTTTGATTAATCTTCTATCTGGCTTCACCACTATCCCTGAATTTGGGTACTAGCATGAAGTCGATGTTCCTGGAAAGAAAGAAAGAAAGAACCTTGAGCGAGTTTTTGTGAAACAAAATCTGATTCATGCCGTCATTGAGTTCCACTAATGCCTGGCAAGAACCATGCATTATGTCAAAGCATGGCATACCTGTCCATTTGTCTTAAGTCAGCTGAAATGATATGCTCCCTGCTGGCAAATCTTTTCATTGTCCATTTGAAGTTAGATTGATGAGTCATTAGTGGGGATAATATTAGCCTTTCCTTGGTATACATATTTTATTGATAAAATTAATTGATATCACCTCTGTCTTTCTTTTCTTTTCTTTTTCTTTTCTTTTCAGGGAGGAATTTAAGAATGAGAAAGAGGTTGATGTGAGGTCTTTGGACATCAGGAACTTTCTCTAAGTCTTCCATGGCTTGTCAATGGCCTGGCTTGATATTGAGCTTTTTTCAGGCACCACCTAGAATGTGGGAAATAACCATCTGTTTTGCTTTGATAATAAAAAGGTGTTGAATCACAGCTGTGCCTTTTCGTGTTAATTCAAGTTGATAGCCAGGAGGGGTAACTGGGATTATGCTGTCACTTGTCTTGCAATGAATTATTTGTTTTAGAAAGTCGCTGGTCTTTGCAGACTAATTTTCTTCCTATTACCAACTGTATCTAAGCATTCATGGTCACATTTGGCAGTGTTTAGTCTGGAAAAGAAATGATTTGTGACTTTACCGGATTAAATAACTGTATAAACAACTTCTTGCTTTGCAAAAATGTCGAGTTTGAAGAAATATGGAATGGGGTTATGTGCTATTCTGAAAGTTCATCGACATCTCCAATGTTCAGTGCATGGAAGTGAGATTATTTTGGTTCAAGACAGAATTATGTCCGTAGATTGTTGTGGTGATATTCCATGTGCTTTAGGGTCTTAGAGGTATTCCTCGAACGAGTCCAGTGTAACATGACCACTCGCTCTGGCCATGATGCAAGTTAGGCTGTGCTTGTTTTTATTCCCAAAGTATAAAAGATGCAAATCCAAATTAGAGGGTGTAAATCATTCAAATAATAATGGACGGAAATTGGGAGGGGGTAAATCAATGTGGTGAGCTAGTGGCTGTGGATATCGTAAAATCAAACTTCAACCAGTAAAGGTTTGAGAGTAAAATTTAGGGTTTATTTTGAGCTTTAAAAAACAAAAGAAAACGGAATCTTACAAATATACACACCGCAGCTTCTGCTTTTCTCTGTTCCATGCTTGCTAGCATGGGAAAGTTTTGTTTTTTAGCCAATCTCAGCGTGCTAGACGGAAATGCAAATTTTATGAAGGCTAATTTATCACAAAAACAATAAAGGCCTGTTTTTATCTTGTTTTAGAATGAAATCTCTCTTAGCATGACCCAAATGACTTAGAAATCCAACTTCTTGTTTTTTTACTCGTCCCTTCTCAAATTTAATTTCTATTCTTCTTACTTTTTATGTTTTTTAAAATTAATTTTGCAGTCAAGTATCCTCTACAACAAAAATAATTCTATATGTTTGATATTATACAAAGAAGAAGAAAAAAAAGATTGCATTAGCCTTAAAGGACTTATAGATAGCGTTTAATTACTGTTACGAGACATAAAAGACAGAAACAGTGAAAATAGAGGAGACGAGATAGAAAAAATACAGAAATATAATTATGTTTGATAGTGATGTACTAAACAAAGTGATTATTTCTATATTTTGTTTGATTATAATAGATAAAATAAAATAAAATATAAAAAAAAATTATTTTACTCTTCATATATATTATTATCAAACTTATATATTTTAAAAAATAATTATATTTATATTTTATGTTTTTTACTTTAGTTTATATTGAGTGTTAAAATTAATAGTATAAAACTAGAATTGACATGACATATTGATCTGAGATTTAAATTGGTTTGAGTTTAAAAAGAATAAAGGAATGATTGACTTGATTTAATTCAGTGAAAAATCAAGGTCAACCTAAGATAAAACATGGTCAAATACATGTGATTTTTTTGAAAAAAAAAATCTAATTAAAATAAGGTTGATTTATTTTTTTTTTTAAAAAATCTAATTAAAATAAGGTTGATTTGATTATTATTTTCTAAAAAATAGATTAGCTGGGTTGACCTTTCAACCTGTGACTTGAGCCTGGTCTTGGGTCGACTTCCAAGTTATTTTTTAAATAATAATAATAATTTTTATTTTTATATCGACTCGGGTAAACCCAGGTTGACCCTTCTGATATTTGACTCATGTCTTATCCTAAATTAACCCTCGAATCAAATTTTAAAATTATAATAATAATCATTTTTATTTTATGCTGATTTAGGTCAATTCAGGTTAACCCCTCTGGCATGTGACTTGGGTTTACCTCAAGTCGAGTTTTAAAACTATGATAATAATTAGTTTTGTTCTTATATTGACCTAGATTTTATCTCGGGTCGATCCTTGAATTGAGTTTTAAAACTATAATAATAATCATTTTTATTTTTACATTGACTCGAATCAACCCAAGTCAACCTGACTTGTGACCCTCGACTCTCGAGTTGAACTTTAAAACTATGATAATAACTATTTTTATCATTGCATGTCTTAGTTGGATAATTTGGAAGTTAAGAGTTTTTTATAAGGATATTTTAAAAATAAAAAATAAAAAATATTGTCTATCAAAACATGTCTTTTCTATACTTTCTATTTTGAAAATATAGAAATTCATTTCAAAAATATCTTAGAGATATATTTGTTTTTATATCTATATCTTCTTAACCAAATACATTTCTATTTTTATTATCTTCGTCCTTTTTATTTCATGATAATAACCAATAGCTACCTAGAAAGTTTCTCTTGCAAAGGGATATTTAGTTTACAGTTTGGCTTAATTATAAGTCTATTATAACTAATCAATTAAACAGAATACAAAAAAAAATTAAACATTCCTGTAATTATTGTTGATCATCGAGATTTTTTTGAAATGAAAATCAGTTACTAATTTGTATTTTTCTTTACAAAAAAATGTTTATAGAAAAAAAAAGACATTTGAATTTGACAAGAATAATAATTTATAAACAAATTAAAAAATATAGGGTTTAAACACATTACAATAATAAAAATAATAATATGAAAAAGACATTTAGTCATAGACTCATTACACTATCAATTCACACATCTTGTTTTTTGTTTTTTTTTTCCTTGAAGCATTTTTGGAGCCACGAAAGTTATTTCTTAAATTTGACCTTATATATTGTATTTACTAGATTTAGAACTGATAATTTATTTCAATTAGTTTATTATATGGTTCTCATCTTGTTAAAAAAATATTCAATATTAAATTAATACTTGACTTGGTAAGATGGAATTCAATTTTTTTACTCAAAACAAATTAAAACTTAGAAATAAAATTTGACATTGAAACAAAAATGCAACCTTTTCTTTTCTTTTCATTTTTCCTTTACTACCCGTGAGGAGCATTAATCTTTGTTCTCAATGTTTTCTCATTTTTTCATTTTTTATCCATGTTTATTGAGATTTTAACATTTCAATCCTACATTTCATTTATTTTGTATTGAAGTTTGAATTTTACGAGAAGATAGAGGGTCGTTAAAAAATAATAGATGTAAACCTATAGCCTAAAAATCAGTGAATCAGTGGTAAATATGACAATTTTAAATTTAAAAATAATAAACTAAGAGGAAAATAATTGTGATATTTAATTATACTTTGGATAAAATAAAGGAATATAATAAAATTGGTATGTGAATGTTAACTAATGATAAATTATATAAACTTTCAGATCGGGTAAAAATAATTATTTTTAATGAAGAAATATTATAAAATTTGGGGTGAAATATATTTAGAAAAATAAAAGGAAATTTAAAGAAATTAATATAAGATTTTACAGGTATAATTATATTATTTTAATAAAAAATTGTGAAAACTACAAGGATTATTTTATTATGATTATAGATCGGCATCCAAATGAATTATTTTGATAATCTTACCATTTAAGTAAATAAAATAGTGCAAAATCTGGATTTTGGCATAGATATTTTTTTTAAAAAAATTATGTGTGTGTAATTTTTGAAGTTTTTTATTCATCTATAATTTTTTTAAATATTTTGTATAGATGAAATTTATTTTTCAAAATAAAAAATATTTTCAGATAATATTTATAATATGTGCAACCTTTATAATATTTTTTATTTAAATAATTTAATATGTGTGTCTATTTTTATCAAATACAACCGAGTAAATACTTTTTTTTGTGCGATTAAATATCATGATCTACATATGTTTATTGAATTTTTTAGTTTTTTTTTTAGTTAGCATTAATAATTTTGTTTTTAATTTATCAACATACATAGTTCTAAATTTATTTAATTACATATAAGTATAAACCTTTTGATTTGTACTTAGACATTTTTTAGCTATAGAAATGCATAAAAAAGCCTTGCATATATTAATTTTTTAATAAAAAATAAAAATATTTAATGCGTGGTAGAATGCAAGTCACACAACTAGTAAATATATCAAACATATATAAAAAAAAGGCATTATCCACTAGTTTCTTTGTTTTTTTTTTACAGGCTAGTTAGTTTCTAAAACCAAATGAACTATTTGATATCTTTTGTTTTTTAAATATAAATTTAAGAGAAAAATATTATTTAATCTATTTGAGTCAATGACTCGAATTATAAGTTTGATAAATTAATCCACAACATTTAAACTATTATTTTTTATATATAATTTTTATTTTTTAATGTTTTTTAATTAATTTTAAAATTTATACTTCAATTAATACATCTTGTATGTGAATTTTTATATTTGCTTCTTTAACCTTTTTAGATATATATATATTTTTTTAAAAAATCATTTTGTGTATGTTTAATTTTTGCATTGATTTTTTTTATTCATCTATAATTTTTTAAAATATTTTATATGAATGAACTTTATTTTTTAAAATAAAAAAATATTTTTAGATAATATTTCTAATATGTATATCATTGCATAATTTTTTCATTTAAATAATTTAATATGTGTGTCTATTATTATTATTATTATAATTTGATTGTATAAAAATATTATTTTGATTAGTAAAATTTAACAAATATAATCGTGTAAATATTCTATTTTACAAGATGAAATATCTTGATCTACAAATATCTCTTAATTTCTCTAGTTTTAATTTTAGTTAACATTAATTATTTTTTTAATTTATTAATACACATAATTTTTAATTTATTTAATAACATGTATGCATAAATTTTTTGACATGCATTTAGTAGCAACATAAATGCATTGATAAAACCTATATATATAATTTTTTTAATAGGTGATCATGGGTTACATAACCAGTAAATATACTAAAATATATAGAAAAAATGCAGTATTCACTAGTTAGTTTTCAAAACCACATGAAATAATTTATTTTTTTAAACTATAACCCAGTTTTAATTAACTTTTAAACTTCAAATCATCTTGAAAATGGCTATTTTAGGCTATTGGCACAAAAAATTTAAAATTTGATAAAATAAGACAACTAAATTTTTTTTAATGAAATAACACAATTTATATTTGTTGTAATTTCAAAACATAATATATAAAAAGAAGTCACAATAAAAAATACAGTATTAAATAAAAAGCCATGACATTCATAACATGTTGCCATTGATAAACATGAATACTTAAAACCATTCTATTTCACCAATTATTTTTCAAATTATACAACCCCCCTAATATTTTTAATTTTCTGTGTTAATTTATTTTTAAATAATCCTTAAAAATCCCAAAAATTGGAAAAC